GGAAATATACATCCTTTTCTTTAACGTTTGTGTGTCATTTTTGTCATACTGTTTAGTAAAAAAGCATTTTGAGAGAGGGCTTGAAGTTGTGTCTGAAGTCTGACAGGTGTTCTGCATTGGATAGTGGGAATAGTGTTTATAACACTACAACATTCCTAGAACAATTGCTTAGTGTGCTGTTATTAAATATGTCCAAAAAACAACCACATGGCATTTCATGCAAGAATGATCTTCCATGATTTTGATTAAATAACTTATGAACGTATGTGTTGGACACAACCTGTCTGCTGATTAAGTGATATTATGTAAGTGTACATGGACTGTGTTTTAACCTTTATTATGTGGTTCAGCAGTTTGTAAGCTCTTGTGTTAATCTGCAAGAATGCAATTTAGAAAGAAATCTAAAGTGTAACAAGCTACATAACCATGTTGTTGAAGCTGATACTCTGACTTCCTTCAAGTCATAGGTAAATGAGATCTTTGGATGCAACCAAACAGGCTAGGTATAAGAGAAGGTCTTTCATGTTATTTCTATAAAACATAAACTTACATCAAAATATGTAATTAGATGAGCAGAAAATAACCCAATATTAACATCATAATAGAAAATGAATATATATTTTTAAGCAGTAAAAGGCAAATAACGTGATCCCAGCATATGACTGGTGCTACAAAGAAGGCACAATGGTGCCTTTATTTCCTCAGTAAAAATGAAAAAATGTGGTCTATCTTCAGCTGTCCTTACCACATTTTACAGGTCCACAACTGAGAGTGTGCTCACATGTAGTATTACAGTGTAGTTTGGCAGCAGCTCATTGTCTGACCGGAAGGCGTTACTGGGGGTGATCAGGTCAGCCCAGTCCATCGCTGGAGTACAGCTCCCCGCTGTAGTGGACATTTTTACAACTCGCTGTCTCAGGAAGGCTGAAAGTATCGCTAAGGATACCAGTCATCCTGGTTCCTCACTTTTCTCCCCCCTTCCCAATTGTAAGTGTTATAGGAGCAGAAAGGCAGGGACCTCCAGATTAAGAGACAGTTTCTTCCCCCAAACTGTCAGATTACTGAACTCTACCCCTACCACTGTTTCACACAGATGTGTTTTTGTTTCTCAAACTGCTTGTCTGACTTTTTAAAAAAGTGTTTTTTTAAGTTTTTTCATGGAAATTGACAGTGAGTGCGATTGTTCCTTTTGCTTGAGAATGGAAGTGAGAGACGACCTGAGATAGTGCTGGCTTTGTTTGAGGTGGAGAAGTCAGTGGTAACTACCCCACTTACAATGAAGTGTCATCACAGGGACAGAAAGAATCAGACCACCTGGTGAGCTCTAGCCTTTAAAGGCTGTTCTTTCTTCTGTGAGACAAGCATATTTTTGATTTGTGAATCAGATGCAAACCAACCTGAAGTGTCAAGGCATTTGCATTGCATTGCATTGGGAATACGGCCTGTTTTTGCACACTGATGGCTGAATGACAGATTTTAATTGGCTTCTGTGCAACTAATCAGACTTTGTACCCTTGGGTCTACAGTTTGTTGGTTATGCTAAGCTCATTTGATTTCTCCTGATTGCAGTGTTTTTTCTCCGTTCTTCAGAGGTTGTCCTGTCACTGTGTACAAATAAAGTCCTTGATCTCAACCAATTAGCATTCAAGCTTGATGTTGGATTACTATAATGAATGCAACAAACACAATGCAACAAAAAAACAACACATTCCTTTTTCTTTGTATTCTATTTATTTCTCCTGATTTTCTTTTCTTTCTCATCCCCATCTTTGCTATCAATTTTGTTTTGTGTAGTACACTATTATCAAGTAAGCTATTATCATTTTATACTGGACACAAACATTTCTCCTGATTGCATCAGATCCCAAAAATATTTTATTCAAGAATCACATTAAAATATTGATTGGTGCTTTCTCGAACACATTTTACTTTTACTTTTGAAAAATAGCAAATGTTGAACAAATACAGAACAACATAAAAATGTAAAGGCAAATTCCCTGTAAAGAAGCAGAGGCGAGAGAAACTGAATTTTGTGATTAAATGTATCGCTTTTTTTGCTACTAAATGCACTTTACCTTCAGTAAATTTTCATCAGTTGTTTGTTTCAACATAATAAATTGTTACAAAGGAACAAGTAATAGGTTTTTTCCATGCTGAAAAGAGAACAAAGAAAACACAATGTTTCGTCTGTAGAGCCTTCGGGTGTCAAATGAAAACTGAAGAAGGCTCCACAGCCAGAACGTTGTGTTTTCTCTCTTCTCTTTTCAGCATGGAATAAACCTATTACTTGTTCCTTTGCAGCCTAAGCATGATGACACTTGAACTATTTTGGGATATGTTCATTTATTATTTAATATTAATATGAACAACAGCTAAGTTTGTTGGTCGAGGAAAGGGGGATAAAGAGATGGAAAGGAGTGAATATGTCTAAATGAAAAAAAGAACTTGTTTCTTGCATGTACATCATGAATCCTGTGTTTATAAAAATCTTTCATGTGACTGTGAAAGGTCATATAAAAAGATACGTTAACAGCTTTCTTTGTAGATGTTAAATGACTGCAAACTCTCCTTTTCTTCCAAAAACCAAAACATTAAGCAGCTTGTCTTCTTAAGAATCCACAAAAGTGGCACCATATTATTGTGCCCACAATAAATAAGAATCTAATCTTTTTTTAAACATTGCATGAGTTGTGTGTTTAAAGGGAGAGAAAATCCAGATCTAAATAGTACTTGAACTTTTCTGTTGTCTAAGAGTTCATGTGCCTTCCTAAGTAACACGAAACACGAATAATATAACCTAGAAGAAATGTCATTTAGAGAGATAGAACTCTGTTTTCTGCTTCCTCAGCTTTTCACACAACCAGAGAGTTGTACCACAAATTCTATTCAACCTTCTTCTAATGAAAAAGAATGAGCAGTCAACACAATCGGTTTCTAAACCACCCAAATAAGAGTGTCATGGTCATTGTCAAATCCATCATTGATTTACTAATGCCAGTGTTCTCTAAGAAGGAAAATTCTGCTGATCATAATCATTCCACGCTTGAGGAATGGTTATTTCACAAAGTGCTTATAGTTTACAGTATTACATTAAATAGTCCCATTTCAATACCATTGTATAAGTAATAGACCAATGCTTATTTTTGTGATTTTCCAATATTTACTCAAACATGTAATCTAAATATACAGTTCTCACCCAGTCCGGCATCCTTGTATATTGAATCTTAAAGCAGTTTTTGCCCAAACAAAGCCTGGAAAGATAAGGGACATATTTTGATACTGTATGTTAAGAGAATCATAAAATACAGATGTGGAGAGATTCTTTTTCATTTCCCACAGCAGCGGGCTTTTTGAGATCAAAAGGAGATTTTGACTCAGAAAATGTTTCATGTTTCAGTTAAAAAGTTCAGTTAATACTATTTGACCTGATTTGAAAAGACACCCCAAACAATTTTGTCATAGCCAAGTAAGTGGTACAGAGAAGATAAATTGCCTAAGTGGGATTTAACTTAAGGGCTGATTAATGAGAAAGGCGGTCTCTTTAAATTTGTACAACTCATGTCAAACTTTTAATAATCCTGATTCTGGTGCAGTTTGGGCTTTCACTTTGGTTTAGATGAACAGTGCTATTGCTCAGACACAACACTCATTTCTATTTTGTTGATGGGATGAGGTAGGTTTGTTCTTTAACAGACCGCGGTGAATGTTTCTGAACTGCTGTTGAGCTCACACAGATGGCCCCCACATATATCTGAGCCAATTTATCAGCAAACAAAGGAAATTGCACAGTGTGATGGCTGAAAACCAAACATAAACACGGAAACAGTGATACATTCGCTGGGATTATACGCTAAACTAGCTATCACTCTGTGCGCTGCTGTGCCTGTGAAATTCTAAACAACAAAGAAACGAACCATAGCTATAAACAGCATGAGGCATAATGATGGGCAAACACATAGAGCTTTATTTTTATGGGGGCAAGTATAGGCTGTTTCTATAAACTTTAGATGTGACACTGCAAGAGCTTACTGTAATGCTTAGAAAAGATGATGGATAAGAACAAGAAGGCAGAATGGTAATAATAAAAATAAAGAATGGTAGAAGCTTAGCAAAATGAAAGGATGAATATAATGGTTTTTCTATGGAATGGTGTCTTTGTGAGATTGTAAAAAGGAAAGCTTATTTAACATCCTCATTATTTTTAAATTTAAATAAGCACAAAGTTGACAGCAGTTTATAAAGATAAAGGTCATACGAATTTTATATCAATGAGCACATTAACTTTTAACATTTTCATCTTAACGAAGATGGTCATGTTTCTGTCATGGTTTCAGGACATAATGTTTAAACAGACATAGATAATGCACAGAATTGGAAGAGTCTTTCAGATTCATGGACTGTGTTTTCAGGCACTCACAGACATGAGTTAGTGTTTAAATGTCTAGACACTTAGTCCGAGTCTAGGGAAGAATATGTCTCAAAATATCATCCCATTAGAAAGTGGTCTTTACCCATGTTTTCTTGTCATTTTCTTGAGATGCATAGCAATGTAAGAATGATTTCTTTTGTGTATACATGATAGGGGAAATTATGTGTTATATGAGTCAAACCAAATAGTAAGAAGGCTTGAATTTGTAAAAAATGGCTTTTCAGGTCAAGTGTCTTTGATCCTTAAACCAAAGCCCTGAACCAATATTACTTTAAGTTTCTACACTAGTAAAGTTGAGTTTGTCACACTGCAGAGTAATAGTAAAGTAATCACAGAAAAGGACAGTAAATCATAATGTGATTAAGGTAAAGAAGTGCTCAACATTGATAAACACTTTTGAAGACTACTGCGAAGTAATTAATGATATACCCATGGTAAATTCAAGGCAAAACTATATATGAAATTGCCAGATTTAGCATGTTAAAGTCATAAAAGTCCATCATGAATTATTACCAGTTTCCAGCTATAATTAAGAAACTCTGACTTAAAAAAAGCAACAGAGAAGACAGTGGATTGTTCATGTTTTTATTATTTATAAATCACATATTACTGTCTCCCAGATTCAGAGCAAACAACCTGCACAAAAGGAGAAAAACTCAAAGCAGAGACCGTTATTTTCTTGGTAAACAGGGAAATGCCAGACAATTCTTTAACATTCAATATTCTTTTTAGGAGATGGTCTGTCGTCTGCCGATGCTGTAGAAAATCCAAAGATGTACTTTTTTTTTCCACTTGCAAAGATTTCCTCTGTTCTGAAGAAATTTTCTGAACACATAACAAAAACTGTTTGGAGATTTTTAATTTTAAGATTGCTATAAAAAAGCAAGGTGTCATTTTATAGTCAGCCTTTATGCCATATTTTAGCACTTATTTACACATTTTGTTAACAAGAATCAGAATGCATCTATTATAAACATGGATTATAAAGTACCCAAAATAATGAATACCTATGAATGTTATGAGACTCACATACCTAATTCTTTCTTATATTTACAATTACCTTTTTATTGAATACCTTTTAAAATTAAATGGTATTTTTGACAAAATACATATTTATATATATATATGTACATATATATATACACACATATTTAACATCATTATGAAATTAGCTAATTTTGCTTGAATGCCACATTAAGTAGCACAAATGACACTTTATGAATATTTTATAACCATCACATAATACCATATGTTATAACAACATTCACAAACCTTTATAACCACATTTTCCCACAACATACATAAGTATTCATATATACGTTAATAGTATTGTCTACTAAACAATAGTATAACATGTATAATATTTGTATGATTCATATGACATATAACAAATATTCTGGGAATTAGTATGAATACTTCTGCAGATGTAATATCTGGAATGTGAAATTAATGGAAAAGAGATTGTAAAGAGGTTTGAATGTTGTTATATTGCATTATGTATCCAACACAAAAGATGCTGTATAGGCTGCACAGTTCATTATTCAACTAATTATATCAGTGGCTCTCAGTGTAAACACTGAATAATAAGCAGTATTTTAGAAGATGAGTCCTCAATATGGTGGGTGGTTGCTATGGGAACACAAGAGGTTAACGAAAGGCTACAAATGATCAAAGGCCATTGGGGCTCTTCCAAGAAATGAAGGTTATGCTAATCCTTGTTTAGTATAAATAGGTACTATTTGCAGACCGTCATTGACGTGGGTTCTCTGATAACTACATTTCTCTTTATTTTATAATCTGTCAACATGGAATTTGAAAGTTTTAAAGTTTTAAAACTAGAATTTCAGGAATTCTTGTGTCATACAATAAGTGATTAAATTAATACCCATGTCAGTGTACTTCATGTACTTAAAATGCAGAGTAAAAAGTGCAAAGTATCTAATATATAGGTATATTTTAGATGATTTTTGAAAATCTCTTCATTTTTTTAAAACTGTTATGGAATGGTAAAGATTTAGTCTGACTGACTGATCTGTGCTTCTGATTGTGGGACTAGAAACTGCACTTGTTTATAGTGCCTTTCACAGGATAGACTTTAGAGTATATTAATTTTCAATTTGAAAGGCCTTTACTGAAAGCGAATTGTAAACCACAAGAGGTATGTATGACTAACTAATAACCTGCAAAGAAAACTGGAAGTGTATAATATGGGTTCTGATGGGTGACTGAACCGAATGAAAGCCATTTGCTGACTTTTAATGGTTGGAAAGAGATTATAGGCCTTTGACATTAGATCTCATGACAAAGAAGAAGCATGTGGGAAAACGCCTACCTAAAGCTTTCCATCTTTTTCAGCTACAGAGGCGACTTGATGTGATCTTGTTCGTGGTCAATTAAAACTTGTATTTGAATTTATCTTGAACGTAACTGTTTGTGAACTGATTTTTCCATTTGGCATGGAATAGCTCTAACATTGCTTAGCAGCACAGAAGTGGGAAATTATATGTGCGTAGGCAGTATCTGTGTGCACACGCTGCTTGTGTGTTTAGCTCAAATGGCAAAATGGATGGTCCTCCACAGCTCTCAAATACAGGGAGGAAAATAGGAGACAAGATTATGCAGTGGTACTGGGTTTGAATGGGTCCATAACTGTTGTTCCTGAGCTCTCTTCATGCATTCCTCAAGACAATTGCAATCTTTGAAAACCATATGGCTGTGCAAGGACTGTTTTCAGTGCCATCAGAAATTCATTTTTAAAGGTTTTTTCCAAGCCCAAAACTGTAACTGAAAAGAATCACGATCACTATAAACATTTTGTGAACTAAACAAAAATCCTAGCACGTTCTTTTTTCATTTTAATTAACTTATTTTGGACGTGAAAGTAACAATCTATTGATCAGGATCTGATCTTAAAAATGATGCATTTTTACAGACCTTATGTTGATTCTGTTTTATATGCTGTTGTAATCTTAACATTGGAGGCTTTTATTTCTTTTCTCACCAGCAAAGGCAGAAAGCAAAGGCAGGGACATAATAGATTGAATATGTGCCTCTACTAAGTAATTGTGCATTAGTAACAATATTCCAATCAAACATATTAATTGGGAACGCATGGTTAAATGAATGAGGCTTTACATGACAGTTCACATGCTGTTTCTGCCTTTAAACAATATTGCTGGAAAGGCAATTTGTAAAGTCTCACACCATCTTGAAGCCTAATCTTTTCACATTCCTCTCCTATTCTTTAATCAATAACAGTACTGTGACAAGTAAAGTGTATTACATTGCTTGTATACTGTATATCCACATTAAGGTCTATTATAGCCCCTCTCAGTGGTTTCTAAATATTTCATCAATCATCACTTGCAGATCTGATGAAAAATATCTGGAACGGAATCTAGCCATTCTGCTCAGGCCTTTTATGTGCAACATAAATCCAGGCTCATTATGAATGCTTTCAACCAGTATGTTCAATAGTTTATATGCCAGGATACACAGATTGCTATCTTTATAACCATGCCATAAAATGTAACAAACACACTTTTAAAATGTGAATTTCAGCTTAGTATTCATGAAAGACAGGGGACAATATTAAATGTATGCAGAGTTCCAGGCTGCGTCCATAGCTCTGCAAGAAAACCAGAGCCTGTTGTTCAGGGCTATTTATGCAAGATTAGAGTTTAACCTCCTTCTGAACTTTTGTTTCAAAGCCCATTAATTATTAAGTTAAGAAATTAGTGGTTCTTAAAATGTTTTCACTTTTGTCATACTTAAACCAAGGCTTACAGGACAGAAAGATAATTAGTTCATTTCTCTACCTCACCAAATTAAAATATATATTCATTTATAGTTGGTTTACAATTACTTTAATGGCTGTTGTTTTGGTAAGAATGACTTATTCCCTGTCAGCTCCAATTTCTTCAGACATGGGATTAATAAAATACTTTTCCTTTTTATTCAGACACACTACATTCTGAATATTCTCTTTGTTCCTCAGCAAAGAGCATGCTGTCAGTACATGTCACCTTAAAGCTGAAGAACGAATGGTACCAAACTCTAGATTTTAAAAACTGAAAGAAATATCCTTGATGAAACGAGTAGCAGTAACAATCTGAATGAAAAAACAAAAGGTTGTCAATCTAAATTTGGCATAATCTAAAACCTGAAATACACGGAAATTCTTAATAGTTGGATGCAGTGTGCTATATATTTCAAACTTTGTTACAGTATGTACCAACAATGCACATTTTCTTCTCTGCACAGAATATTTTATTAACTTGAAAAGCATATTTTCTGTCATCTTTCCAAGCTATAATATCTACGATGCTAGATGTGACTGAAAAATTTATTTCCAGTGTTCTTTTTTTCCTCTTTACCATGCGCTTATCACAGTACCAAAATAGATCTCGCAGGAATCATTTGAAGAGTAATTTTAATGCTGGAAGCAGGCCTTGATGGCAATTCTAGATAAACACCTGGACAAATACTAGCCATTTTGGAACAGAACAGTTTTCACACAAAACGACACCATCTGTACATCACGGCTCATTTAAAAACACAGAAATGTAATGCACGCCGCATTGTTTTCAACTTGTTGTGGGAAATCTGCAGGGATTTTCCTATGAACCTTCAGAAAATGCTTTTATGGTTTCTATAGATTATAAAGGAGCAGTAGCAGTCGGCCTCCAATTTTCTACCTGAAAACCCAACCTTAATTATATAAATGGAGGGGTGAAGGAGTCTATGAGGGTTACAGCTCAGCTTGCTTTTAATCCTTTCGCATTGTCTTTCTAAAGGCTCTTTCAATTGTTGGAAAAAAACGTTGGAAATTGGTTTGCTTGTGGAGTAATACTGCTTTGTATTTCTCTGTCTAAAACACTTAAAAATACGAAAGGGTTCAAAGACTTAACTGGGCCTGTAGTAACAGGATAGGAGGTGCACTCCAGATCAATAAGCTCTTTGTTTTTCGTCCATTCATTAAGGTAAAATTTCAGCATACTCCCCTCCCCCTCCTCCCTTCGCCTTCTCACTTTAATCCAAACTGACAAGCAGACATAGAGTAAAATAGCCAATAATACATGCTGCTGTGTGTGGCATTAGTACCATTTTACCACTCTCGTCCAGATGCTATACATGTCCTGATTTAGACAGATAAGCAATCAGGGCCACGACGACACCGACATACACCCCCGTGCCAATGGTGATGGAAAGGGCCGCCAGGAACAGAGCCCTTCTGGAGGCGGAGCTTGCCAAGGGGAAGTCTCCCTTGGCGATGGCTTTGCTGGTCTGACGAAAAAAAACAACAAAAAAAAACAACGAAAAATATGAGCAAAGACAAATCAGGAGCTGGGACAGGACGTCCAGTGTGCAATCATAATCACCAATGGGATGCTTTTAGCTTGGCTTTTAAGTGAGATTCCCGTAATGAAGCAAGCAGTTGCCTGAGTTTAAAAAAGTGCTTAACTAGGATCGCATTATGTAGATCAGAGGAAGAGGGGTTGGAAGGATTTGCTTTGTTGTTTCTTTACTCAAGCAGGGTTGCAATTTAGTTGGCAAAACCAGAGCAAACAAGGCTTTGATATTCTTCCCATTAATTTTCTATAGGCCCTGTTTAGCAACATCCAGACCGACGGGATTTAGGAAGAAATTAACATGGTTGATATCAAAATAAAGCATCTTAATGATATTAATTCTAAAGAATTGAAGTGATTTTGTCCCATCTCCACTTTCTGAAGTCTAACACGACCTGTATCAAAGCCTCATGAATATTTCAAGACAGTGTACCTTGAAATGCTTGAAACTGTTGATTTTTATGATGGGAATCTGAGCAGGGACCTATAGTGTTTGTCTTGCAGCAACCTCTTATGCTCTGTTTATAGGAAAGGCTCTTTATGAAAATTAAAATTGCTCTCAAAAATCAATCTGACAGCACAGATGGAAAGCAGATTTCACTTCCTCCTGCCACAGCTTTGATTGCGTAAATAATTTCTTTTCTGAACTATTTCATTATTTATGTATTTTGTTTCCATTTTGTCGGTCTAAAATGGGAGTTTCAATATTATTCTCCTGATCCTGAAGCGTGTCTGCTTGGCAGGAAACATTCCAATTTTACTGTTTGTTTTAAATTGGGCACATTTTATTTCATGAAAAGAAAAGAGCCCACAGAGGGGCTATATGCTCAATGGCACAGCTGTTCCAAATGAACTGAGATATTCACCTAATGAGCTCTCTTCAGCCTAAGCTGCAAGATATTAATAGAATGAGCTAGACAGAGTCTTTTCATTTTTGAGAGTTTTCAGTTGAAGAGGGAAATGAGGTTAAAAGGCAAAGGTGAGGCAAAGCAAAAAAAAAACACCTCAGGATGAAGTAGCCATTAGTTTCCATGGAAACCGAGTGAGGATTAAAACAGGGAATACTGCTTATACACTAAGCCTATTACTACACCCCAGTGGGGAAATGTGATTCAGCATCTTTATTTAGACCTGCATACCTGTTTCTATTTTTATTAAGAGTACTTTAAAAGTCTTTGGAGGAATGGTGTTTTTCAACAGAGAAAATATAATTGCAAAACACTTTCCTGTGTGAGAAGAATAAGAATGTAAGAGCAGACCACTGAGATACAATGATGGAATTTAAAGCCTCATAGGAGATAATGGGGTATCTAAAGTTGATTAGGCCTGTGCAATATTGTAAGACTGTTTAAACAAGCTCCTTAATTATTTAATGTTTTCTACTTGTTAGAAATTAATTAAGAACACAGTAGGACAAACCTACATGGACTAGACTGGAAGGGCAATATCTCGTGTTTCACTGGCCTGGAGCAGTGTTCTCAATACTGGTTCTGAAGCACCAATGTGTCTGCTGGGTTTTGTTCCAATAGGTCCAATAATAATTACCTGTGCCAATTGTTGCCAGTAATTAATCTATTTAGTAATTAATCTATTTCTGCACTCAGGTCTTGGTTTAAAAAAAACCTACTACAGGGATTCTCAGTCCTGGTCTTGATATTCCCTGTGTCTTTGGTTTTTGATCCAGCAAAGTTCTTTATCCCAGGCTAATTTTTCTATTTGAGTCCCACTTTCTTAAATTTGCTTTCAGCTTTTAAAATACTGAATGAGATCAGTAATTGAACCCTGTGCTAATTAGTGAGCTTCTGGACTGCTTTCAATCAGGTAGGGTAGCAGAAATATAATATATCCAGCAAGAAATACACTGAATCAGGATGGAAGTTACCCGACACAGTGTCTCTCTCACCTGTGCCTGTTCATTAGCAATTGATCTCCTGTTAAGAGAGCTGTTTAGTCAGACGGAAGGGAGCAAATTTGGGATCTGCAAATTGAGGAGAGACTCCATGACATTATGTGTGCTGAATGTGTATTTTATCAGGGAGCAGTTTAAAAACCAGGTGCGGAAAAGGTCTAAACCAGCAAGCAGCACAGTTACTGGCTGCAATTAGCACTGGTGACCGAAGATCCAGCTGGGACAAAAACCCACAGGCACCCCAGAACCAGGACTGAGACCTTCTTGCACAGAGCACATGAGCAACTGAAACCATATGGTTTTCAAATCTGTTGTCTGAAGTACCCAGCCAGCAAACAGAGATTATTTTGTTTCCCTAGTTTAAGATAGAGCTACAGTATACTTTGATAAACAGGACCACATCTATTAAACGTCTGCAATATCTGGCACATACTGTACATATAATCTTTACACAAGGAAAGAATGAGGTCGAAACTAAAAGACAAGAACAAAGGAGTAACAGAATGCTTTTTAACCAGTCCTCTACTGCAAGGGGTTTGACCATGAACAAAATATATTTATGTAGTTAAAAAAGGAAAAATAGATTGATTCAAAAATGTGTGTATAGTTAATTTTCAACGTGTCATTAAACAAATAGGGGAGCTCAGATTTTCATCTCCTGAAAGATTGCTCTAATTTTGTTTTGCCTCATCAAGAAAAATGTTAATTAGCGGTGTTAATATCCTTATTACCTTTCTTGTCAAAACAAAAAATCATCAGCTCCTTTGCAACTCGTGCTCATCATAGCCACTTTGGAGCAAAGTATTAGTCTTCTACACAAAATAAATAAACTCTTTTGGAGATGATTTATATGTACAGTAAATGTTACATCTAGCCTAATACTTCCATGGACCTAAACCTGAGTAAACTCACACAACTGATATTTTCTAAATACAGTTTGGAGGTTGTTTTAAAAGCCAATACACTAAAGTGTAGAGTTACTGTACATTTTTTAGATGCTCTTTGTTGTAATTTGTGATCTGTAAAGCTTTTTTGCTTTGGATTTGGTAGTCATTTCCTCCCTTTCTGTATCTTTTGTTTTCCCGAAACCAGAGTCCTACAGTACCTGTCCTAGTTCACCACTGCAATCAGAAGTGAGTGCCACTGCTGCCACTTCTCACTCTGCGGGTCCAGAATATAAATAGCCAGCCTCTGGTATCAGTCATTAATTTGTAAGGCTCAGTCGCTTGGGTTCCCAGAAGGAACAAGAGGTCACTGGCACACTTCACCCCAAGCTTTGCCTGTGCTCCATCTCCCTAATCAGTCCCAGCAGTCCTGAGCTTAATGTGAGTCACAGGCAGGGTGCAGCCAAGCACAGCTGTCTTAGATTCGAGCTCAGAACCGGCAGACAGCTGGGCCCAACCCACACTGCAAACAAAGCACTTTCAGTGTGACCCCCTTGATGGCAGGGTGAACTTCATTTCTATGGCTCAAAACTATTCTTTTTTCATTTAAAAAAAAATCCCAAGTTTGTCTTTACATCTCAGCTCACAATGCCAGTGAGCTTCAGCAAGGAAAGAAGTAGGAAGGGCACACAAGCTCTTCCAAACCACCCTCCTATTGAGCTAATCATCTTTTGACGTGGTATGAACTTCACAGACGTTCTGCACTGATTTGAGGACTGACATGCCCCTTTGCCAGTAGGCTTTACTCACTGCCAGCCTTCACGCTGAGAGAGCACTGACAGAGACTCAGCCAGCTAATCCCAGCCCTGATCCCTGGCAGTGTGGAGTGAAGTTGTGCACTGCTGCATGAGGAATTCTGGTTATAGCAGGCTGGTGACATGATCCTGACTCAGAAATGTGAAGTCTGGATCACAGCACTCAACCTGTGCTTGGGGTGAGGATCTTTACCAGCTGAGCCACACAGGAGCCCCTGAATTTGAGAGTCACTGCAATCCCATGTAATTCTTCATAAAAATCAGCTACTGTAAAAGTCGTGACTTTAGCACTCAATAAACACCACTGCTTGAATCAGCATTAGTCTGCTTTCTTTCTCTTGTTTACTTCTGGAATAACCGGTTCAGGTATTATGTAGCTGTCAAAGTGGTGACTTTTGGCACTGTTGTTACAGAACATGGCCCGTAAAAGTTATTGATTTCTTTTCTACATAGAGGCTGTGATTAATGTGTTACTTTGACACTCAGGAGAATTTTTATTTTATTTTAGTTTTTTTTTCTGTTTTCATAGTGTAATTTTACTTTTTAAACTTGATATGTGAAGAAATGTCTTGTAGCATGGTCTTAAAGGAAAGGTGGGAAAAAACACAATAATGGTGGTTTTACAATTTTAAACTGTCGCCTTCATTTATCAAAATAACGTGTTAGAAGGAGCCACGAGTTGCAGATCAGGAAAGTCTGGGCCATGGGAACAGAAATGACATATTAATCATTATCTTTTAAAAAAATCATCTCAAATTATAAAAGTTAATACTGCAGGAATGGTTACGTCTGATACATTGAGAACTTTCTGTAAAATACTGTAAAAACTGTCCACGGCGATTATTGAAGTCATGAGATATTTCTTCCATCCATTATCAGAAGCCTCATTAGCCTGGTGTGAGCTGCAGAAAGCCTTAGGGAGCTCTGGTGCAATAGCACCAACTGCCACACCACTGTCACCACTGAAAAATCACTTTCCAATACGTTTTTGCACACTTTACATTTTGGCATCACAAAAGCAAATATTTTCTGACATGTATTAAAAATAATTCGTGGTGAGCTTTTCTTTGATTGCAGAGCTCTTCAGGCGGACTAATATGACCGCCTCTTAAATTCGGCAAGAGCTTGTTGATTTTGAAGTGTGGGCACAGGCAATGTGTGTGTTTGTGTGTAGGCTGCTGATTGGAAGAGGCTCTTCACTTCGGTCTTTCCCGAAGGCCGTCACCAGAGACAGGAGCTTCTTTTAGAGTAATGGGGTCAGATCAGTCCAAAATGATTATTTGTTTGGTTGGGAAGACTATGTGAGAAGTATTGGCAATCCAGCACTGAATACATGGAAGCAAACCGAATAAGTGGGTAAGCAGAATAACATACTCATAGTAAAAAATCGGGGTTATTATTTACAAGCTACACAGTATACTTAATCACATGCTTAATGCTTTATACCGACATGCACACAGATCATGGCATATCCTTTAGCATAGTTTCCAGCTTGGATTGTGCCTAGCACTAGAAATCATGAGCACTAGAAATGATGCCGAAGCAAATGTTGTCACCTCTTATGTACACATTATTTAATTTGAGCGCGTTGCCCCAAAGCATTATGCATGTGATTGTAACGTCTTGTGTAGCCACTATGAGGGGCTTATGAAGCCATTACGCAGCAACATTCAAATCAAGCCTTACCAATAGTAGCCTTTTTCCTTTAAGAAAGTTACTTTCACTCAGGGAAACGGCTGGAAATAAGAAGTCGTAACACCAGCAAGGCAGCTCTTGCAGTTACTGCATACAGTACCTTCGAACCGAGGGAACAGCCCCAGCACGCATCTGGGAAAAAGACCCTTACCCCCTGGGAGAAGTAGAAGGCCGCGATGCCCAGAGGCCAGAAACAACAGAGCATGGAGAAAATGGCCAGACCCAAGTGGTCCCGCGGGGGGATCATTATGAAGTTGTCTTCGCTCTCGCTGTCGCTGGAACAGTCGCTCTGTGGAGACATCAGGGTGCCCTTTACTTTGCTGCCCCTGGCATTGTTGAAAAGGCATTGTTTCTCTTTTTCTGGGGGGATTCATCCATCATCCAGCAAAGCCTATATCTAATCTAAGTATAAGGTAATACTCACTTGGCTTGAAAAATATGTACGTCTTGTCTTCTTATGTATTTATATAAAAAAAACAACACGGCATAATCATTTACTCTTGCCTCAGCTCACTTCCTCCACTACTGTGAATTATTACATCACTGCTATTCATAATCAATCACTTTGCATTGCCCCTTTAAGCATCAATAACATATGTAGGTAAAACTTAACATTTCAGTTCATTAGCAATGTAGTAGCAATTGCAATAACGGATTCAAACAGAGGAATCTCTCAAACTGAGGTGACAATCCATGAGAAACTGGAGAAGTGAATAGGTATCAATACCTGCTTGCCATGAGTTCCCAGCTCAAATGATTGGTTCATCTAGTGCAGAAAGCAGCACTGCCCCAGGCAGTCAAGGTGTAGTTGGGTAACATCTTCATTCCCATGTCCTAACAAACCTGCCTAATTAGTAATAGCTGTTATAAAATATTGAACAGATGTGTGTTCCAAAAAGGCACAAGTCATTTTACATCTAGAACATATAAAATGAGTCTCATTAGCATTGGTAATGATCAGATTCAGATACTTTTTTTTGCTGCATTTTAAAATTCAAAGGACAAGCCTTGGAATTTCGTTCTTGTGCTTGCTTGTGCTTGTCTGTACAGAATAGTATGTAATGTTCTGGAAATATTTCAATAGGACCGTCAAGTTCTTTCTGATTTGACAGCGCAATTGTATTTAAAACTGCGACTTTCAATACATCAAATATTTATATATAGTACATTTCAGTTAATGTAGAATGGATTTCAATACATTTATGCCCATAATGTCCTTGAAAGAAATAATTAAAAAAAAAATCTGAAACATTATTAATTCAATGTGACTGATGGCTTCCTTTTTTGGAAAGGCACATTTTATAGCGAGCAATTCTAGGAAAGTTATAAAAATGCTTTTTTCTGCTGTATTTATTCTTTAGCTGGTAACAGAAAATAGGACAGTCATCTCCATCCTTGCCAATGATATATTGCTTTCTTTCCCACTAGAATGCTAGAATAGCACTGGCTCATCTCCAACCCTGAGAAAGGCACCTGTGATCTGCTACAGTATTAGTAGGTCAAACTGCAGTACAGTCTCTGGGGAGTTTCTGATTCTATCACAGAACCACTCTGACCATCTGGATCTGATGGTTTTATAGCCTTGTGCAATAAGGACTGGTGCCACGTCTTCCACCTACAGGTGAAACAAGAGTGTAATGCCAACACCTCTTTGGAATAATCACCGGTAGTAGCATAAAGTCAAAATTGTCTGTTTAGGGGGAAAACCAAATATGTTCTGTTTAAACTATCCCATTTACAAATGCTTCGAAAAGATAATTCTGTGGTTGCAAATCAGAATTGCAATGAATGATTTATTGCATTCTGTTAACAAGGGGCTGTTTGTTCCACTTCTGGTAGCTAGTTTATCATTCATGAAGCAACCCCTACATACCGTAAAAGCATATTAACAGCCCCTACATTAAAGGGTTACGCTTTTTCCATTGTCAAAGGCTGTGGGTAGGTTTGGGTCAAGTCCTTTTCAAATACTGCAGTTGACTGAGAATATGTAATGTTAGAAATTATTATTATATAGAGTTTTTTCCTTAATTTCCTTAATTTAGTGCTGGTTGTTGAGGCAAACAAGAATGGCATCAACTGCCATTTCCTCAGCCGAAAATGCTGAAATATTTCCCCATTTATCTTCTTATCCAGTGGGATGAGCTCTGTCTTCTTTAGTGCAGCTGCACACATCTGACACAGACAATCAGAAAGGCAGCAAGCTCATCATGATTTGAAGTCGTTCAATCTGCCCTTGTCATGTTCTCTGCCATCACAACCAGCACACAGCTTGTGCCTGCTGGATGGCAAAGAATTTGTATTCTGTCAACACTCATGAGAATGCTGACAGATAAAACAGGATTAACTGATTGTTTTGTCCTTGTGAGGTGACAGGGAAAACAGAAAAAAAGACGATGTAATTTACCTGGTAAATTGGCTTCACGGCATTAGAGAAAGAACCTTATATTCCCTTTCTTACTTTCCTTTTTTGGGGCTGCATTGTCCAATAAAATAAGTTGCACAGACTTTCAAAAGAAACAGTCAGTTTCTAGTCAGTTTGCTAATTCTTTGACATTTTCCTTGTATTGTTTTAGCTTCTGTCTTCTGTTCCCTGGCACAGTATGTCAATGACAAATGGGATATTTAATGGGAAGACTCTGTCTTTAAGTGTTTTGGTCTGACTTCAAATTTATGAGACGTCAGTTCCTGGAGTGACCTTTTGGGAACGAAACTGTCACCATTGTGTTATGCTCATGTCTGCTCCTGTTTGTATAAATAAATAGCCTATCAAAAAGAGAATTCATTTATTACTCTTGTTATTGTGCAAATCAAAAATAATCCCAGGGACTAGATGGAAAGAAAATAAATGGAAATGGATGTTCTTGGTGGAAAATAAATGAGGCAATTTAAAAGGACAACAAGAAAGTCAGGGAGTCTGGTGTTCTGTGTTGCTCGATGCAGTGTCTGTAAAAGCTTACCAGCCAATTATAATTTTACAAAAGCATGAGTCTCAAGCAGAAAACTCACTCATAATATTTCCCTTTGTGCAATGGGTATAATTAGCTTATGATAGTCTCTGCATTTATTAGCTTCTTAAACAACATTTTTTTTCCAGAATGAGGGCTCTGACGTTTCTTCAAAGTTATTCCACAAATGGTGCCCAAAACACATTGTGGTGCATAGGGCAGCACTGGCTCCTTGGTTGAAATCAGACTCTGTCTGTGTGGCATTTGTATGTTCTCTCTGTGTGTGCATCAATTTTCTCTACTGTTCCAGTTTCCTCCCACAAACATGCTGTTCAGGTTAATTGCTGTCTCTAGGTTTCCCTCTTTGTGCATATGTGGGTGAATGTGTACTGCACTGTATGTGTGTGTGCTCTCTGATAGTCCAGGGTGTGGCTCTGCTAGGTGCCTACCGAGTCTGACTGGAGCTCTCAGTGATCCTCAGTGGATAAAGCAGTTAGAGAAGATGAATGGATGGTGTGCAAAATGCTGCATTTCAGCGTGTCATTTCATCTGTGCGTATCTCATAAGGAGATGCCAGGATTTTAAATCTAAGCCATCTGTCTGAAGCCTGTCCTTTACTGGGTGAATGAATCCCTCAGCTAACCTAATGCAAATCTACATGCCGGGCTAATATAACAGCCTTATTCCTCTGTTTAAAAGCAGGGGTTTGCTTTTGAGAGCACAACTGTCTAATTAATATAGGCTTTTCTTCAGTATAGGCTCTAGAATCAATTGTGAAATTGTGCTAGTAATTTAGTATTTTAATATCCCACAGCTGTCTGGGATTTGGGTTCCTACTGTAAACAGCACAATCAAATAGTGCCCTACTCTGAGTGTCATTGAGTGATAGAGTAATGAAGTGACTTGTTATGAGGCCTTTTTTCACTAGCAGCAATACTAGTATTGTCACTGAAGTGTAACTTTAGAGCTTCCCGATATGTTATGAGAAAAAGGAAGAGAAAGAGGAAGAGGAAGACAGAGAGGCTGAGTGACATGCAAGCAGTCACGTGACCAATTGTCTATTCAGGTGATGGCATGCAGCAGTTAATCCTCACACACTTTTGGGAAATATAAAATCTACCAACTTGTACCTTTCATATGTCAATGACCGAGATTATTCAAAACAATTGCAGCTTGGAGTTCCTTAGTCTACTGAGAGTACTGTTCTGTTTTATCTCTATTAAAATCTGTATAAGATTTGTTTCTTTGCTCTTGCTTGGATAGCTTAAGGCCTACTTTTGAATTGACAAATTCTTTGTGTTCATGTAATATAATAATTCAGTGCATACATGTGTAAGCATTGATTCGCTGTGAAGATATTTGTGAAAATGAAAGGTATAGCATCTGTCAATCTCAAGCTGTTCATGGATACTGAATGCTACGAAAAAAATGTTTACGTCTGACAGTTTGTTTTCAAAGCTGGCTCAGAGATAAAGCCATTGTTGTTGTTTTTAATTAAGAACATAATTAATTGCCTTGTGGCTCTGGCCCAGGGAAATGGCTGGTCTGTTAGATGGATTAAAGTAAAATTAAGATACAGCACATAAATACAGTAAAAAGAATATAATGTAATGTTTTGTAGACACGAAACCTGAAAAGATACTGGCTGGGACTGAACACTGTATAAACTGGATATGTCACTGCTAATAATGCACCTGCTTTTAGGAGATGTTATTGTCCATAACCTTTGACATTGAGAAATATGACCTATCTGACTTGGGCTGCTCATGGCCAACAGTCTGATTGCACATTTTCAAAGGATTTGTGCTATAAACTGCATTCCCAGTTACTATTTACATAGTGAGTGCAATCTGTTTGTATTAGAGCATCATAAGTATACACATTAAGCATAAAAAGAAGAGATTTTAAGGCTCATGAATTGAATTCACATTATTTGCCACTGTCTTCTACACTGGATCTTATTGACCCCTTTTGAATGTCAGAGGTAAGAAAAAAAATCATTATTGGTCTTGGTTTGACATAGTAATAAATCCAGCCTTCAAATCTTTGACATGATTGGTTTTCTTTTCATAAATTCGGCAGAGAAATTGCTATTAGGCTGTGAGCACCAATGAATGCATTCTTCTCCTGAGGCAGGATATCAAGGCTTATCTCTGGATGTCTCTTTTCCTCTAAATTTAACCAGGAGACATAAAATTTGACATAGCCCTGTGCTGCTGTGACTGCATACACATAAGCAGAGAAATGCCCAAAGTGTCAAAAGTAAGGCTACCACAGCCATTAATGAGCTCTTACATTATACTAGTCTAATGTAAATTTAAAGTTAATAGATATGCAATATGTAATAAAGAAATATCTGAAGGCTGTTAGCTGCAGATAAACAGTTAAAAGAATGGGGTATGAGTATGTTTTCATTAGGAATGCATTGAACAAAAGGAGAAGCTATTGCTCGCCTTATGATCATTTCAATTTGTGCCTTCCACACTGATAATTTGATTTGTGGACTAGGTTTTATCATTTCAAATGTTCAAAACCAGAATACTTCAACAGCATTGTTCTTTCAGCCATTGGTGGTGTCACCCCTTTCCACGTTTCTAAACAAAGGATTGCTAATCAGATGGCTGACAGCAGCAGTCTGCAATACAGACTAGACAACATCAACGACAGCTGTCCAAGCCTCTCTCCACCCTGGATCCATGCAGCGAAAGGCTCCATTTAAACGATGTCAGGATAGAGCATGGTGTTAAGTTTCAAGGAGGCAGGTGTTAAGTTTCAAGGAGGCACATTCATACCTATTAGGAAGACATGAGCATAAGAAGAATGGAGAAAATGTATCGGCCTGTTCAGGTTAAAAAAATGCTATTTAAATAAGACGTTATCCAAAATGTTGTCTAGTACAATCAGAAGCTAGCCTTTTTTCTGTATTGCAAAATTTGCTGTCAGTAATGCAAACTTTGAACAATCATATTCTTAACTCTGAAATCATCAAATATGGTAGATGAGGCAGGCTTGGGAGACAGTGTCTTCACACACTATGATATCAGCACCCAATGATACACAGCGATGAGTATTGTGAACAGAAATAGTGCTAATGGTTTTAAAGGTGAGGCCCACCAGAGGTGAAAATAAACCCTGATGAGTGTCCTAGAAATAGGAGACTAGGAAAAGCACATTTTGCCTATGAAAACCATTGCTGAAGGTTTGACCTTTTTAATTTAAGGGAGTTTAATACATATAAAAAACTGTTAGATACCTAACTTTGAAAGTATAATGTTAGTAAAACTATTATAAAATTACACTTCAGAGCAGAAACATTTATTTAATTTACTAACCTTAAATCCTAACTGAATTTGCAAAAGAAAAATTAAGCTTAAGCTTCAGAATTATGCTTTACCAATGTATTTTTTAACTTCAGAATATTGATCATTTCTCCTGAATGGTTCTCCTAAAGCATCATTAATTATTTAAGATAAGTATGGGGCTGTGAGACAGTAAAATTACTGCGCCTGGTGCTGATGTTGACACAGACATTATTATACAGCAGTGATTAATTAGGCTTTTATGACTCTAGCTTTCTAATAGTTTTATCTTTACTGCACTTTTCAAAGATTTTTGTGTACAAAATGTACTAAAGGATGTATTCTATAGTATCCCACTAACATAAAAATCACAGTTCAGGGTGCTGAAAACAAATTAATACAGCTTAGAAAAGTCCAGACCTTCTCAATTGATTGCACAGAATAGAATAACACAGCCACCTGCCAAGCGTGGTTAAGCACAGGAACTAGAACAGCTCCCGCAGAGACTATGGTTCACAATACTGAAAGTTTAAACGTTTCTGTTGTTTTATGCACCACATCAAATTCTATTCTAAGCCACATTTTAAAAACCGTATGTTTCTTTGTTGTGTAGATAAAATTGGCTCCAGCAGATCCTCATAATCATCAGCATTATCAGCAGGTTTGAAACTTGAAGCTTTTTCTAGATAAAATCCCAACATAGATGGATGAAAGTGTTATCAGGTACTTTTGTCTTCAGGCTCGCCTCACACGTTCAAAGAATAATGACTGCACATCAAATTAACACTTCATGCTCCCACAGCTGAAATGGATCTCCAGTGTCCTGTGTTCTCATTTTGACACTATTGTTTCCCTCGTCTGGATTCCATTTGGATTCAGAGATAATGAGTGTATGGAGGCTATCATTATGCGCAGAAGAAGAGCAAACTAATTTGTAATGGTGAACTCTAGTGAGGACATGAGTTTTTCTTTTTGAGACTCTGTGTGATGGATGTTTTTGTCTGTTCTGTAAATCAGTACAAGTACTCTGTAAAAGAGAAAACGTAGATAGGACCAAAGATGGGGGAATAATCTCAATGGAGATATCAACTGCAAATTTTCATGTTCCAATGGAAATGCATCACCATGCATTGGGATTCAAATATATAACTGGTTTATTAAATGAAATTATGATTATATTTGAGCCAAAGTATAATTTGGTCCAACATCTGAGGTATTAAGGCTTCCTTAGATATGATTGTGCAGCTGTAGGAGTGTTTGTGCATTTATTTTCTTTTGTCTGTAGGAGGAATAGCTTAGGTGGGATGATTAGATGTGGACTGTTATATTTACAGCAAGGAACATCATAATGATGCTGCTTAATTCACTCTGAGAAAATAGCATTTGAGTGAAACAGTCCAGACGTAAAAAGTCTGAGATTCAAAATACAGCTTTCTGTGTTCATAAATTACCCTGTGTTGCTTAAAAGCACACACAGGTGTTCGTGTGATTCATGTTGCTTTTATAAAAAAAGCTGTAATAGCTGCTGAACGTTCTTTGCTGCAGTGCCCCAGAGGCTCCAGCTGCATTTGTGTCGAAACATTGCCATGCAAACAATCCAGTTATTCTTTCAGACTGACTGCTCTCAAAATCAATAGTCATTTTTTTGTGCATTGTGAAGATGTGCCTGCTTCGAGACTTTTTCTTAATGTTCCTCAAATCCTTTCCCTGATCCTGAGAATCCATGGCACCTGGATGGCCTTATGAATGTCGAGGGACAGCACCATGTTGAAATGATCACTTGTGCACTGGTGCTAGGTAATTGATTATGGTCTTCTGAGAAATGAGTTATTCCCGAGAGAGGTCTTAAGAAAGATCAGCCTTGGTAATAGAAGTGAGTAAGAACTGGAAAGGGTAATCCTTTGAGCTCAATACTTTCGAACATGGTTCTCTTTCATAAAATATTTGATATATGAAAATGAAAGGAAATATCTGTATACTGACTCTGATGCAGAGTTTGTTTTCTCCATGTCTAGTTAAAAATGTATGTACTGTATTTCTGCTGGGTTACACAAAACCTACAGGATCCAATACTGTTCATAAATCAGTGTATTGCAGAAGGATGCTGTCTGAGGTAAATCATATTAATGTGTTTACATTCAATATACTTGCAATACTGCACAAGTCATATATAGTAGAAACCTTTAACAAAACAAGACTATTTCCAAGCACATGAAAAAACTACCAAAACAAAATATGATGTTTTGAAATGTTAGTATTACATTTGTTCACATTATTTTATTCCCAGCATAAAGTCGCCTTTGTCTTCACTCAAACAGTGAGCTGAAAGTGAACTTTTACCACAATCCTATGTGAATTAGTGTCATTAAAGGAATGCAGACCATTAGCTTTCAATTATTTTCCTATACTTTTAGATGTGTGCTACCAATATGGATAATATTGCTATTCAGCCCTTATCTTCTATGATGTGTGGAATCACAGCATTCACAATGTTGGAACTGTTAGATCAAAGAACTCTGGACAGAGTCTCGACTGTGTTAACACTGGAAATGACACAATTTGAAACTCAAAGGTCTGTGAGCTACAAAAAGGCAAGTGATCATATTTTTATCCTGTGGAATACACACAGCAGCATTCTGATGACCTAGTCTTTGGCTGTGAAGTCAGACTTCTCTTGACGTCTCTTGAAGTCTCTTCTCTTTAACATTCGGAAATAAACAAGAATATGAACTATATACCAAATGGAGGTGTTTTCTTGTGAGTCTGAAGTAGTGACTTATAAATAACAGCACGTCAGCATCCCTGACACAAGCTGTGTCCATAAGAGGGCAGAACTTTGCCACTTTTTCAATGTGAGCTCTGTGACTTACCCTCACCTGTCTTTATTGAATCCCATTCCATTAAAACAATATTTGTTAAACTTAGGTGGTGAATCATTTTGTTATGAATGAAAGAAGCCAAGGTTTTGGTCTGCTGCTGTATATTTTAATACAAAATTAAGAAATCAGGTCACAGTAATCATATTGTAAATCCCCTAATGGATTTCACATGGCAGTCTTGATTTTAGTCTCTGTAATTTATTTTTCCATTAAAAAGAGTGTGACTATGCAAGAGCTTGGACAACAACACAGAGCTACTGTATCTTGAATTGTCTACTGCAATATTTTCTGTATTTGTAATCTAGTTCCAGGTTTCTGGGATAGACTGAGGTTTGACAGGTACTAGATCAGGAAAAAAGGTGGAAAATAAGATTCATTCCTCTCCCTGCGGAACAGAACTGAGTCAGGGATACAGATGGGTTATGAGGACCCCCAAAGTATAAAGACATAGAGTCTACATTGCAGAGTTATTTTTTGTGAAAAAACAATGTTGACTGAGAACTTTAACTAAACAACTTATAAATTAAAGTTTAAACCTTGTAAAAGAAGGTAATGTAACACTGAAATGCCACAATGCAAAGTATAGTAAAGCACAATGAAATGATGGTACAGTACACTGATTTATGATGGAAAAACAATACAAAATGCACAGTATAAAACTAAAATAAAAGGCAAACTTCAGCTTGGAAAATGATTAGAGGACTAACCTCTTATGAATGTAATTTATTGCCCTTATAAAAATATTCTCCAGCTACGTTAAATCTTCTGCTCAGTACTTTGCAGAGGAATGAGTTATCATGTTTTAAGACATGGTACAAAATACCTTTCCCTCTCCCTACCACCTTCACCTTACCTCATATTCGTGGTACTCTTCCTCCTCTACCTCATAAGACACCGTTTGGATTTTCACATCATTGTCACCCAGTTCTAGGAGTTTAGACTCTTGATCTTCTGTGTTTTCGACACCGGAGTCTTTATTTTCTGTGAAAGTGGTCTCGCAACACTCGCTTTTATAATCCTTGTTTTTAGCATTGGCTTCATCCTTGTACAAAATGAAGTTTGGCCGGTAGAAGGCTTCTACTGCAAGGTGCAGCGATGTGGCATCGAGGAGTTGGTGAGTCTTGGCTTTGCTGGAACCATTCACAAAGTAATTAAAAATGTTTTCCTGGTATTGGTTGCTGGGAAAGTCCCCCTGGTAACTGTAATCGCCTTTGACGTGTTTGCTGTTTTTGTCCAGGAGTGGGTTCTGAAGCTCACTCAGGCTCTCCATCGCAGGGTGGATTCTGTGACTGGCCAAGGGAGATGGATTGTAACAAATTGACTTGACAGGTATTAATGCTGTTCAACAGGCCAGGAGCTGTGAAGATTAAGAGAGAGAGAGAGAGAAATGGAGATATTGAATATGCTTCTTGACTGGGTACATATCACAGACAAGCAGTGTGATAGGTTTCCCTTCCAGATTGACCATGACTTAGTGCATTAATCTGCTGGAATCAAGATGTCAAAAAGGGACTGAAACGTCCATGTTCTTTCGACAAGAATAGTTGTAATAATTGTATAATGGTGTAATAATTGTTGCAACAAGTAACAGGCTGTATTCTTGTTAAAAGAAATTCTGGATTTTTAAAAAATATTTTAAAAAAGCTTTTTAATAATATTTCAAACCTATACATGGTGTTATGCTGATACTGTATTTTTTATTTTAACCTGACTGTTGATGTCACTCCTGATGAAAATATCATTTTCTTCAATGTACATTCCTTTGAGGTTTAGGTTAATGTTTCAATTAAATTCAATCCTCTAGTAGTTGCCTAACAAACAGAAAGACCTTGATAGGTTTTTAATTAAATCAACAGGATTTAAAGACAATAAAGGCAATAAACAAAAATGCCTGCGGCATATTATGCAGATCACATTTGTTTAAAAAACACCAGAGATGCAGAGATAGCTATGTTAGGCCTTGTACACAACACAGAGCAGTCAGTGGAGACCAACAAAGAATATCATTGCGTAACACATACTGAAGACACAGACACTGGAAAACCATTATTCTTGTCTAATACTCGAGTGGTTTTGCATTAGCTTTAAACTGAGCTTCTGTTGGGGGAGTGTGGACATATTTTTCTAAATTTAATTGATCTATCTACAATGCCTATATGAATATTAACTAGTTCTTACCATTTCTTAATGTTAGGAAGCAGTACTGTCTCAAAATGAACTTAAATGTAAATTAATCAAATTCTGATTAATTTACATTTAAACTAAACAACGTAAGAATAAATAAAATTAGAAGTCTCTTTTTTAACACTTTATTACATTGCTTTAATTATTTTAAATGCTATTTTAATCACAGCATTATTCATACATAAAACTGTTCATATATAGAAACTTACAACCACCAGCAAAATCCTATAGTTATTATGAGGAAAATGACATTATTTCCTTGCAGTAGGTGCATGGACATTTTATTGAACAGACCTGATACATGCACATTTCATTATACTGATTAACATTCATTAGGGGCTTTAATGTCACACTAGTAGTGTATATGGCTACTGTTGGACACAATAAAAGCTGTTCATCTGTGATGCATGAGGTTGCAGATGCTGTCTTGTAGCATTCTGTCCAATTATTGTCATACAGCCTGTACATGTGTCTGTTTAGTATTCTTTGAGCCCTTGACAAGACTTCATCCCAGTTTGTCTCCCACACGAATATTAAGGTTTTAAACCCAGCAGATATTCAGTGGGGCACACGTCTGGTGAGTAGGACATTTTTTAAGAAAGTTGTTCTTCCATGACCATCATGAGGAGGTGTACTGTCCTCCTGGAATGTTGTCATTAAAGGGCGAACCCACAGGAAAGTTAGCAAGTGAAGTCCCACGACTTGGTCAGTATATACTGTGCAGTTAGGTCCCCAATCCCTACAAATGATGTTCTGTCATGACTAGACACCCTTGCCCAGACTGTCACACTAATGCCTTCCCATTATCTGGTCTGTTGTACAAAGTGATCAGTGTGTCATTCCGTATGTCTGAGACACTTGAAGGATGGTTCTTACAAAACCTTTCAACATTACTAAAAAGTACTTCATCTTACTGCTAAAAAGTCAACCATGAGGTTTTGCTTTAATATACTAATGCAACTAAGGCATTATTCTTTTGATTAGTGAGGCCTACTGGTTCCATGCAATGTTTTTTTTTTCTTGATTTGCACCAAGCAGCTACATTTACAAAATGGAATGGAAACCATTTTTTAAATTTCCTGAAGCAGTTTCTTTTTAAAGTATTTTTTTCAGTGCCAGAAAACATATTTGCATTAGGGTGTACTGACCTGTAAGTGTGACACTGATTACTGGACATGCAGGTTAGCATATTAAGTACAAAGACATGACTGCAAAGGTATTAGGGTGACCATAAAGTATTCTGTACATGATTCTGAGTTAATGGTCACCATGTTTGAAGTCTGAGGTCACCTGAGGTCGTCTGCTTTCAGGCTAATTAATAGAACAATCAGCGTGCTTGTTTCAGAAAAGGAAACTGGCAGGCATTTTGCCTGTTAAAAAAACAGCACTAAGTGCATTCGAGGTTTGTAGATAAATGTTATGATTGTCTCTACAAGAGTTTTTTTTTCTTAATCATTCCATGCCATACCTCAGTGGCTAAAAAAATCCTTGACTTCCAGAGAAATTCTACTTAATATTTTCCAGCATACCTTCAGGATCGTGAGCAGATTTGAATACAAACAAGATATTGACTTCTGACTCTTTAGGTAAGACAACTAGCCTGTGCCTGTTTTCTAAAACCATTTTTTTATACTAGTGGACTGTATATAATTCCATCATTTTCTGTCATTCCAGTGCTATCTTTCCTATAAATGAAATAATAGCAGATGTTGCTGTGTTCAGTCGTGCATATCGTAGACAACAATGGCACCCCTCTGTGAATTTATTTTCATCCCATCAACCCAGCATTGTTATTCCATTCCAGCCTTGAAGATGGAGCAGGAGACAACAAAACACATTGGTAGAGTGAAGCTCAGTCATGTGCTCTAATGTAAACACTTGACACTGGGCCTGTAAAATAAATTAATAAATCAAAACACAAGGGGGACTTCTCTAAGTGCAGGAAAAATGAGCGTTGTTTTGAAAGCAAAATGCAATGTCAGATGATGTTCCTTTAAGTGAAAAATCAGTTTGTTTTTCTTAAGCATCTCATTTTCAGCCTAATGTAGCATACGACAACGCAAATACACCTACTTTCCCACTTCAACAGACATAAATCAGCATAAAAATAACTTGCTTCTGTACAGAACTCATCAGGTTGGTCCCAGGAGGATGGCAATAAAAAGAGTCCATTATACTTCAGGATTGTATTTTTTATTATTTCTCTTTTAATATGTAATCTTGGATGAATTTTGATACGCACTATCTCAAAGTCTATTGAAAATTAAAATGGAAAATGGTCGGATGAGTTTAGGTTCTTAATCGTCATTTTTCCCCCAATCTAGAAAAATCCACTATTTAATCTCAGTTCTGTTTGTTACAGCTCCTCTTATGCCTCAATCAATAATAGCTTCACAGAACCTCTGACCTACTTCCAACCTCTTTATCTTAAAATAGATAAATTCGCTTTTTAAAAGACCCATGGGTCTACTCTGTTGAACTGGGCACTGGTGCGTTTCACTGCAGTTTCACAAACTTTCTGATATTTTATTGTGAAAACCGGTAGAAAAGGGAAAAACAAACCCTTTGAGTCAAGTTATACTACACATGAGAAAAAACAAAAGCAATTCAAAGAATCAACGGCACATGAAATCTTCACATTATCGATTCCTATTAAAAGCACAAAAAAGTAAATACACAAATACTGTATTGTGGTAAAATACATCTTGACCTTACAAATGCCACTTTATAATCTTGATACCATAGCAAGTTTTTCAGATATAAACCTTTCCAGCTTTATATTAGAGCATTTCATAGACTCTAATAAAAGATACCAAAACATTGTTAATGTCTTTGGATTAATCTGTGTGGCAGGATTCTTAACTCACCTGGTTCCCAAAATAGAAAATCAATATTAATTTGACTGCATAAGCCTTTCCTTTGTTATTTAAGTATTTTAAACCCATTTTATGCAGCAAAAGCATGCTCAACAAGCAAGGGAAGTTATTTTCTGTTAACAAATATTAAGGTTGGGCAATATGAATCATCTGCTCTGAGCTTGGAAGCCGGCTCATAGCATCACCACAATCAAATTCAGACATTTCAGTTAAAACTTGGATTATAAAATGAGAAATGTAAGATTTGTTGACATAAAAATTCAATCTTACATGTACAGTATTTACGTCTATTTAATGTCACTTATGTTATTAAGCAATGAGCTACAAAAATAACTGTTCAGAGGAGAGATCTTCATAGATGATAAAATCTATTAATCTATCCAAAATGTACACATACAAAAGCTTGTATTCTCAGGGAGTGAGCAGATACAATTTATAGCACAAATTATAATTGTTTCCCTCTGCTATATATGGTGATGGATTTCTCAGAGCTCAGTCTGATAAAAAGAATTTCCAAGGAGCTAATTAACCTTACTTTACTTAAAGGAACTAACAACAAGGAGTTTGTCTAGGATTGATTGACAGGTTTCCTTTTTAAATAAACATTTGGTGAGATTGATTTGTTATGTATTAAAAATGGTTTAATAGGTCATTGAGACATTGAATACAATCACTTATTTGAGTAGATCCAATGGATTGTCACACCATCTATCAACATAACCCTTCAAGATAATCTGCCCACACTTTTTTTTTAAAAACCACTGCTTCTCCACGTTTAAGATCAGTAGCAATGTTTTACTCAAAAGCTTGAAAATGTGTCAGTCCCAGCTTGTCTGCTTTTCTAAATGTAATTTGAATAGTAAATCAGCTCTCTTCACCTCGTACATAAATCCCATAGGCGTGCCTCTCCTGCAGCTGGTAATGACATGACATTTCAAACAACATGTGTCCGCTCTGTGAGAAACTAAGAAGAGAATAAAAGACTAGAAGTAGAACAGTGGGTGGCAAAGGGTAATCTTTAATTCAGAACCACCTTTTCCCCACTTTAAAAATAAGGCAATTGATGATCAATAAGTATTGATATCTGTGTCATAGTGGCATCTTCCACCATGGGTCAAATTTTAATTCTGCAGTGCCAGGCAGCTGCCACTCAGAGATTCTTTTACCTTTCTAGGGCAAATTCATACTGCGAGAATCAAATGTGTTTTAAGACTATGAACTTCAAATGTATGTTTGATATAATGGAAGTGTGCCTTTTATTCTTGACACGTGTTCTCAGTTGCTGTTATTTTTAATAACTGGGTTGGTTTCTCACAAAGGGTGGAAAAGATCACACAACATACTGTAGATGTGGGAGGACGTGATGCTTGTAACAGCCAGTGCACATCAGGATTCATAGATAATGCATCACCCCTACTTTAAAAGAATAGAGGATTTTATTCTTTATTGCATTGTTATGAACACTGCTCAAAAAATTTTCACTTGGTATGGTGCACACATTAACAATGGCAAGAATAAATCTTGAATTATAGTTTCCACCATCATTCTTAAATATGAATGATTCATTAAATCCCTATGAAAGATGCTGTATATGCACATATAGATCACAGTATGAGCACCCGATACACTACCTTTCCACCTGCACCACATCTTAAATGAACTTTTTACATTTCCTACTCATTTCACAAGCAACACTCTTCCTTTTTTTCTTCCAAATTACCTGCAACCTTCTACCATTTGTGTAGGTGTGCTGTCATTAAAAAATCACAACTTTCTTTTCTGTATCTGGGCACAGATGTCAATTTCTTGCAAATGCCAGATTCCTCTCAAGGGATTGTTGGCAACTTAATAATTTTTTTATATGATTATATGCACAGGAGTTACTCACAGGAATGGAATGATCTGTGTTAACTAGCTGAATGACCCATTAGTCATATCACAGACCACGTTTGCATCTCCAGTGGTATATACTGTATGGCTCTGAAATGACATACAGTATACCAGCCTGGTGCCAACACACTTTTCCATCACATACTAATGGCCTCTGGGCTTCTGTTTATGTATTTTTGAAATTACATATTATTAATCCTATAGAAATATACTCCATGAACTGCAAAACAAGATTTTTACATTCAGCTGCATAAATATAGGTGCTTATCTATGGTATCATACATTAAAGAATAGCTTATTACTTTAATAAATGCATTTACCAATCATGTTCCTTCTTATCAATTCTCAATGCAAACACAAAAGGTATAATAAATATTTTTTATATATATATCCAATATAAAATTTCACATAACTACCTGAAATATTTACAAAGGAGGCTATCAGTAATTTCCTTGTAATTTGTTCTGTTGGCTATTTGGAACTTGATGATTCTTTTATAAGAACGTTGTGGCTTTATGGAGTATTGATTGTAATGGTGATTACCTGAAATGTAATTCACAAGCACTCATATACTGTACAATCAGATGCATCTGCACACAGCACAGCCAGACATTTGCTCTACATATGTTATCCATTAAGTGTGAATCTACACTTGCATTTTGTATTACATATGTCTTATGTATTCTTCCTGCTATATATTATCCTGAATCTTTTAGTTTTGAATACACTTACATAGTATTATTAGTCTTAAATAATAATGCCGTATATTAATATTATTTTAAGGCAAATATATATATATAAATGTCAATTAAATATTTATAATTTCAAATGATTTCTGTAATGGAATCCTAACTGGAGACATTAGTAATGCTACCATCAATCACACATTTTCTCTTAAATGCCAAGTCACATAATTAGTGTTGTTCCCTAAGAAATTGGTCATCAGTCACTGAATAATGGAATTTTTTTAAAAAATGTGTGATTCTATATCTTTAACCTTTCAGAGGTATTCTTAAAAAAAATTACATTTAAACTCATTTTGAGTGCAAGGCAGTGTGGGTTCTCGGATATAATTGTGATTTTCATGCCAATCTCCATGTTTACTTTGACTAATGATAATATTCCCCAACTTTAATGAATCTCATTCTTTCTAATTCAGGCATCTTATCTACTCTTTTTGTAGAGTATATCACATTTTTTATTTAGTTGTGTCTCAAAGGATGCCTTTCTGCCATTCTTCTGGTAAGCGTGAATTCTATTTCACACTACATTACACTATAAAAGTTCCGTTTCATGTCTACAAATATTCCATCACAATGATGTGTGAGAAGCACACATACTGTATGTAAAAATGCATTATATATATATGTGGTACCAGTTTTGCTTCCCTTACTAATACTGGAAACATGTTTGGGGTTGTACTTTAATACACACTTTTAAAGCTGACCCATTCCACTGCTTGAAAATGAATAGAAATATATGATTCTGTAACCATTCTTCAGACATTATTAGTGATCAGTACAGGACACAGACAAGAACAGCATGCCCTGAAGGACTACATTCATGCACATATCTCTGCAAATCTCAATCCTTTTGACAGTCTATGTCTTTGTTGTAATTCTCACCTTTACCAGCCTCTGACAAACAAACACAGGATTTTGTGTTTATTATGAAAGCATTGCTGACAGTCAGGGCAAGTCAGTAATAAATCACTTTTCATAACCCAGCATTATAGCCTCCTTACAGACTGTGTCTTAATCATCAGCATGTGCAATGGTCTCTTCCCACAAGACTGTGTTGTGCCTTGTGCAGTCCCTACTCCTGTATTCACAACATACCTGTGGGATTTCCAAAATGCATTCTGTGAATCCTGCGTACAAACCTCTATTGTTCTTTAGACTGTGAGTGAAAATGAGCTGCACCTCCGTGTGCTCTGTAGAGTAGTACAGTTTTAAAATTAGAAACCGGTGCTCGGTTGCAATGAACAATCTGCTGTATCCACCTCTCCTCAGGACTGCGCTACATGACAAGTCTAAAAATAATTAATCGCTCGTATATGTATAGAGCTTTTCATCTCAGAGGATCCCAGAGTGCTTCACACAGAGTAGGGGACCCTCTTCATTCACCACTGAAGTGCAGCACCCAGCTGGTTCGACATGTGGCAGACATTCTGCAGCAACAGCCCCACTGCACAGTAGATCAGGCAAAGTGAGAAATTAATGAGTACTAACTGGATGAAGGGGGAATGTAAAAAGGCTGGATTACACAAGCCTAGAACTGAATGTGGCCAAGGCACCAGTGTTAACACCTCCAATGGTACAAAGAGAGGCCCTGTAATCTTTAATGGTCAAGTAAGGCAAAACATGGTTTAATGTGTCATCTGAAGGAGGGGTCTGACCAAATCTCGCTTTCATCCTTGACAATGAAACCAGTCCTTAAACTAAACGTTTCACTGCAATCAGAGAAAGAAATATAACAAGAGACATTATTAAAGGGGATGGCTTCCAAATCAGTTTTGAAAAATCTAGCATTGTGGATGATTCGTGATATATTTTTGTGTATGTTTACAAAGTGAATCCATTTTTCATTGAGATAAAGTCAGAAAAAAGCAAAAACAAAATGTACCATCCAGGGGACCTTAAATGAGAATATGCAGAAACACATTCACACTAATTTTAACATTTCATTTCAATTCAGTCAAGTTTGATCTAAGTATATTAGTACTTTGTGTTAGTTTGTTGCTCTGCATTCTACAGTAAACCAAATATATTTACAAGTTCGTATTAACTTCAGCCATGTTCTCCTTAGGTTATTCAAGCTATCTGCTGAAATACAATGTCTGCCCGGAAGAGAATTTCGCCAGGCGAAGTTTGTTTTTATTTTTTCATTTTCCTTTTCCTTAATTCTTGAACTTAGATTTTAACAGAATAAAAACACAAGGTTGAATTTAGTTATATAAAAAAATGATATCTATAAGAGTTAAAAAAAAACCTGAGGTCCTTACCTGAGGTGTACAGTGAATCCCAACGCAGTGTGAATCCGGAGAACGTGTCCGTGTAACATTATATTCATTTTAGGACAGTTGAGAAGCTATCTGTTCCAGTCCCTAAACGAACTTTCTGTCAAAATTTTGATTTTCTCGGTTGGATAGCCTTAATTTCTCTGTTTTCTTTTAATTGTGCGAGACTGTCACAGCTGCGACGCCTGTACAAAAGCGCATTTTCCTTTCATAGTTACTAGTCTGCTAAAAGCTTATTAGTTCTTTACGTCAAACTGTGTACCGTGCATACGTAGTTTACCTCACCTCGATTTATAAAATATCGTTATTGCTACTTTTTTTCAAGGCTGTGTTATGTATTATAAGGGCGATCTTTGCGTTGAAGCACTGTTAACTACAGTAGCACATTATCCAGTGTTCTGTAGTCAGCCTGTGGAAACGACAATTTGTTATTGAGTGGGAGATAAGCGAGGTAAAACATTCATAAAGACTTCAATAGGCTAGCCAGAAACGTTTTTGACTTGGGATTGGGAAAATAATACGGAGCTTTTAAATTAGTTTTTCAAAGTAAAATCACTTCTAGGGCTGCCAGTATTTTTCTTTCTTTCGCAGCTTGGCTAGGTCCCATTTGAGTGGGGTGTTACCTATCCAGAAACCTGTAATCTCAAATCCCAATCCTGTCGACCTGCTGGGAAAACAGAGTCCATCAGGAAATTGTTTGCTAAAGCTTTACCTTCCCTTCCCTTAAAAAAAAAAAAGATCGGACCTCGCACGTTCTCGATTGGTTTTTAATCTTCTAATATAAAGCCAGGCGGTCTAGTCGCTTTTGCGTTCTCTTGTCTTCACTCCGTTTGTACTGCAATTCATCATGCACACCCAGCTCTGTGCCCTGAGAAGGATTATCACGTCGCTTTCCTCTGGCAGTACAGAATGTTAAGATTCTCGTGATCAAGTTTCCAGTCTCCAATGCATCACCAGATGATGCCCTCGCTGCATCTACGGAATGTTGTTGAAATACAGGGTGGACCCGCTGCCGGTAACTTGAGTCTCCAGACTCATTGCGCAGCACAGGCTCCTTGTCTGGCTGCGGTTATTGGACCAGCAGGTACGCTCTCCCGCTGTCTGTATCACCTCAACCACTTCGCTGGCTTTTGTCATCATACCAATTATTTCGTTCGGTCCGCTGCCCCCACTTCCCCTACCCTTCCGCGCAGGAAAAAAATAAATAAAATCCAGTCTACAAAAATCCGCTCTTGCAGTTTCACAGGAAATCATAATAAGCCAACAATAAAATAATTAGATATGACCCGTTCAAGCGTTTTTGATACTTTTATTTTGTACAACAACGAACATCCACACTAATCCCAACAATGCTAGAATCACGTCTCTAACTCTTACTTACAGAGGGATTATTGTTCCGAATCATTTCCTTTGCTTTCCTAGCTGGGAGCTGTCCAAACTTTCAGCACCTCTATTCTGTACAGCAGCAGTCTTCGTGTTGAAATTGCTTCACTTTTATGTTATCGCACATTGGCAAGTATATTTAAAATTCAGGGGAATTTAGTCTTTCAAACACGATTTAATACACAACGCTTTACAAGACGAGCAGAAGCACAGGGAGATCATGAAAAGCAACGTTTTGAGCCGTTCGTTTTTCTTTAAAGGTATTCACTAAATAAGCAATTATAATAAATACAACAAATGTTTGCCCCCGTTCCTTTATTAAGTATTCAGTTCAAGCAACCCCCCAACCCCGATTGAAATAACGGTAAGACCCAGAACACATTTTAATACACAGCATTTAGACAGCGAATATGGTGTATTCTCTCTCGATAAATGAACGCGTCGTTTTTACTTCTCGGTATCCGTTCTGTTCACAGTGACACTTCACTCCTGTTTTTATTATAAAAGTAGATTGACAAATACATGACAAACTCAGAAAGCGAATTAAGGGTTTCAATCCACTTAAAGTCGTGCATCGTGGGTGTTGCTAGACTTGTATTTGACTCAAAGAACATTTTAATTTGAAGGTTTTGAGGCGCATTTTAAACTAACAACCGCGTTATAGCATCATCTATGATTCAGCACTGTCAAGGTACATTGATTTTCCAAATTATTCCAGCTCACACCGTAATAAACTCATTTATTGATCAGAGCAGACAACCATTAAAGAAGAGAAGCTTTAGGAATTTTCACTTGGATAAAGACTGAAACTTCTTGGATAAGTGTCGATTCTGCATTATTCACACACACACACACACACACACCGTGTATTTACATAATAAACACAAGTGCCAGTTAAAGTAGTTTTACCTTTTCTATCGTATTTTTCCCATTTAATTTTTGTATAACACGGCAAAACATTTATTTCCGTGGCAGATTATCTATTAATTTGATTTACTTAACAGAAAGGTTGATGTGTTGATGTAATCAAACATGTTGCTTGAATAGTGCACAATACAGAATTGTGATCTTGGCTACTGTATATAAGTTAAATGACAGAATCATCTCAGAAACAGCATAAGTTAATATATTTCTTGATTCAAGATTGTGTTTTTCATTAAAATGCCAGTTTTGAGTACGTAGGAACCTGCTTTAGATTAAGAGCCAACAATAAAAAAACAAAAGTATTAATAATTATTTCGACGTAATTTCCTAATTAGCAGAACTCATCAGAGGCAAAGCACAGACACTCTGACCACTCACATGTATTACACATGTGTAATACACATGCCTTCATACTATTCAGATTTGTCTTTTTGGGTCTTGTATTTATTCACTGCCAATGAGAAAGCTATTCCGTATAAATATAAACATTGCTGAAACACATTTAGTCCAAATAAACAGCTTATAAATCCGATTTTGTTCAGAAAAAATGGATCAGTTTGAAAAATAAAGTCAACTAGAACCAAGGCTGCCTAAGAGAGCTTTGAAGTTCTTTATCTGTTGAAACGCAGAGGCTTTATATAATAGATTAGGAAAATGAACCAGAAATCCGATGGAAACTGTATAAAAACCTTACATTTTCAAAAGTGTCCAAAGTAACATAAACATTTCTATAGCATCTCTAGCATTTCTATACATAGCACTGCGAATTGTGAAACTTTTATTAGATTTTGTTAATGTGAAAATTGCAGTACAAATACATCAAATTAAGTGTAGAAATGCCAAAGAAAACAGCTGAAATCAGTGTTTTTCTGCTGCCATTGGCAAGCAGGTATTGTGAGTTGCTGAAGGACAGAAAGCAGTCCTTAATTGCCTGCTTTGTTCAGTGTATAATGGCTTCAGCTTTGTCATGTAATGATTCATTGGCTGGAAGGTTTCATTTGCAATGTTAGATAATTTGGTTAATTCTGAAGTATAAGAAATACTCTAGCATGTTTACAGTACAGCAGCAGTCTTTTTTCCGTTTTGTTGTTATTGTTTTTAAGACAAGTCTGTCCCATAGCACTATTTTCAAGTTGGATATGTGCAGCGGTAACGTGAGATTTTTTATTTCAGTGGGCACTTGGGTTTGTGAACCCAGTCCTCAGTGGCCAAGATGGTTTCAATGGTTTGTCCCGTTCAGATAAATCGCCTTAATAAAGTTAAATTCTTTTTTTAATTGGTCTCAACATCTTCCTTAGGTGTAGTGACAGGTTAAAATATCTTTAAAAGCATAAGGGTCCAGCTCTGTGACTACATTTCTGGCATTTAATTATTACTGGACCAGCAGGTGGCACTGTTCCTTCAGGAGCAGACCTTCCAAACCAACCCTCCAGTAGGCTGACGGCAAACACTGCCATGTAGATTGTTGACACAAGTAGGGTTGCTGTTAACCCCATTGTCCTGCCTAAACTCAACTCAAAGTTTGAACAGTCAGCCCTCCCTGAAGTCTCTCCTTAAAGGGGAACCACAGTCTCAATTTCTCACACTGGTTATTAAATCTCAGTACCAAAATAAATTAATTGACGGCATCACAGTATTTTACACATTTTGAATTCAGTGCAAGATCGTGAACTTGGTGAAAGTACCGCATAGTTGCCAAGTTGTTGCTGGCAGACAAGAAACTGCTGGTCTTTCTATGGGCAAGAGCAAGAGTTCAACAGAATTGTGATGTAAAGGTGGCCCTTCCTGCTCACTAGTCACTGTAAGCACAAGAGAAATGTAGTCTCTTAACAACGTTAATCTTTTTTTTTTGTTATTTTGAACTTACCTATATATTTTTAAACAATGCCTCACTAGAAAGTCAAACTGGTTCCTTTTCCAAGGGATTGTCAACTAGCTAAGAGATGGGTAATAAACACTGGCAGTGATGTAAGTCCCATCGATAGGATTCAATGTGATGTTCAATCGAACAAGTGCAGGTTGTGCAGCAGACATCTCAACCCAGAAATGTTGTAACATGATCTGCATGCTGAGTTAACAAGTAAGAAGAGTTTGTCGGCAAAACCGTCTTGAAGTCGTGACTGTTGAATTCAATTCAGTTGCACTCATTCAAATAATCTGTTCAGACAATGGCACAGGCTATGGCACAGCATGTCCTGCAAGAATTGTTCTCTCAGGTGTGATTTACTATAAAATAACCACCAATGTAAATTAAAGAGCACTTTTGCAAAACCTGAAAATGAATATGAGTGTAATTTAGTTGGTTGTCAGGTTGCTCTTCTTTTGCAATACTTAGAAACAGCATGTAAAAAACATACTGTCTTTTATGTGTGGGTTTCAGGAAAATATGAATGATTAATATAGCAGCAAAATTGGCTCGGCCTAAAGCATGTTTACAATGTAATAGGGCTGATTTAGAGAGGAAAAAAACAAGGGAGTTTTGTTGCCTCGTTCTGTATCACAGACAATGACGACAATATGGCGCTACTCATGCATTGAAACTTCGTCTCTTTTGTGATGCAAATTGGTTCCACATATTTCTGTGTACCTGGTAATGTCATCGTGGTTTTAAAATGCACTCTTCAGTGCTGATTCATTATAATCCCGAAATGTAAAAATAGTGTTGCAGTTTCCCTTTAATTTGGCTGGAAAAGCAATATCTCCCTTCTCCATCTGATATGATGTGCAGTGGAACTGCTGGTGCATAATGGCTGCTGTGCATTCCCCAGGTGGGGGCTGCACTTCAGTGGTGGATGAAGTGGATCCTCTCCCATATGTAGAGTGCTTTTGAATCCTTTGGGATGACAAGTTAATTACATACTACATAAATGCCAATAATTGTTATTATTACCAATGCTTCTTACACCCCCGGTCACAAAACATCAGGTCCTATGTTCAATTATCTTTAACATAATTGATGTTGAATGTGTAGCTTTTCACTATACTGCTGTGGAAAAATACAATCGACAATCACTCATATTTGTATGCTACAAAAGGGGTTTTATTTCCAGAACCACAAGATTCCTTTCTAAGTGAAATATACATCAGCAACGGTGGCACATTTCAAAATGTAGATTTATAACTCATGGGTTTTAACAGTGTAGTTAATGTCATGTTATGGCCATCTTTCTTACTAGTTACATAACCCCCGAATGAAGTAGTGATCAAGTTATTGAAAATTGACATTTTACTCTTTGAATTTAGAATTTGAGCTTGTTCTCAATGTTCTGTGGTTACTCTGTAGAACTATTTATTCAAAAACCAACATGTAATTAAAATGCTTGCAGCTACCTGCAACAGCTGTTGTCACCTTCTCGACTGTTTAAGTAAATTAAATCCCCGATTTAATTCATTTTTGATGGAGCATGGTTAAATTGCTTAAAATTCAAATGTCAACAACTGTCATGTCATTTCTCTGAACAAAAAAAAAACTGCATTTGAGACCAGTTGGTTTTGTCTGCATTGCAATCTAAGGCAAAAGAGCATCAGCTGAAAAGTGAATGAGAATTTTTTGTTCACGACAAAATGGCGGCTGTTAAAATTGATATATTGAACAATACATGTTGAATTCAGACGTAAACACAGTTGTTGGGTATACAGCTAAAAGTGTTGATTCTAAATTTAACAAAAAATGCAAGATACACACTCAGTTTAACTTAGATTTCAATGATTTTTATATTGAAAACAAATTGCGATCGACTGCATAAGTTGCTCAACATTTATTCTAAAAATGAAGCAAAGTAAACTT